CAGCGGCAGAGACGGAAAGGGATCCAAGAAACCCACAGGCAACATATAGTCTTCCGCAGTCTCCTTGCTCTTCTTTGCATTACTACTCCCACCATCATCGTCGGAAGATGAAGAGTCAGAGTCGGAGCTCGACAATTCGATTAATGCAGCGGGGACGGAGTTTCTCGGGTCGGGATTGCGCCGGAACATGGGGTCGGGATCTAATAGCTCTCATCATGGCTCTCTCACTCTCAACAGGAATCGAAACAAGAACAGAGTAATGAGAAAGATTTCTAAGTAGCTCCTCCAACTCCAAATAGGAAAATCGACTTCTGTTTTTTATTTTTTTTAATATATATTTATTTATTTTTTTAATAAAAAAAAATGTACAATTTCTTCAAAAAATATGAACGGGTACATAAAAAACTTATGCTTGCTTGGTTAAATGGCTAAATAAATTTAGACAAAAAATTCAAATATTTATGGGCTCAATTTTAAACATTCAGACATTTGGTCAAACGCATAGGTGTTCAAATTTAAATCATTGGCATTTTGGTCGGTTGAAATTTACATCATCTACCATGGTATTGTGATGTGTATTATATATATATATACAATTTTTTAACAAATAATATGTTCTTTATAAAAATATTAATAATAATTTCACAAGATTTTAAACGTAAAAATTGGTTTTTAATCACAATAGAAAAATCATGGTAAGTTGTATTGAAAAGGTGTTATGAGTTAAAACAATTAACTAAAATAATTATGTTACCAAAGTTTTTTATTTTTTATTTAAAATGATCATTTTTTTGCAACTATGTATGAGAATCGTATTTTACCTGGACAATGGAGATTTTGTTGCTCTTGTCGAAATATTTTCAGATTCTAGATAATCCTATGAATTTTTTTGATTTTTTTTTTTTTAAGTAAGATTTTAAAATTTAGTACAACGCACGCACGTGTGTATTATACGGGTGCTTGCTAATTTTTTCTTAAAATTTAAAATTAATAAAAAAAAGTAATTGAAAATTTAAATATCTTTCATAAAAATATATATTATTTTATATTTAGTATGACACTTTTTATTTGTGCCGCTTACTTGTGTTATATTATAATATTTTTTTAACTTACAACGTATAACTACATTAAACATAAATATATCAATTGAGAAATAATTTTATTTTTCTAATGAATTTTAATAAATATTATTATTTTTATTATTATAAAAGATAAATATAATTTATTTATTTCATATATACAATATGGATGTCAAATCAAAAATCATCAAAAGATGATTAATTTGATATATTATATATATAAAGCCGATAAAAAAATACAAAAGTTATCAACTTTTAAAATACACTTACAATTAAATTACTAATTAAAGAAAACAAATCAAAAGTCAGAGATATATTAGTTGATTAGTGTCTAAAATTACAAAAAATTAAAGGAGATATTAGTACAAGTGATATTAAAATAACTAAATTAGCTATTTTAAATTTATGGAATGTCCGAACCTAAATTATTAATTATTAATATATCAATATTATTTGTCCAAACCTAATTACGAAGCATGCTTCTTTGCCAAATAGGATTCTGAAGCACCAGAAGCAGTCATGTAGGCTCAGCGCATTCGTGAATAATATATAGGAAGGAAAGATTTTTTTTTTTTAAGTATAGAAGTTGGATTCTAGTAAGATTTCGTAAGAAATCTCAATTAGTCTTGCAAAGTTTTAACAATTAAATAATTCATGATTTTGTAAGACTTTTAAAATCCTAAATAAATATTGCAAGATTAAAAATCTAGATTAAATATATCGATTTCTAAAGTCATAAAAAAGTTTAAAAAAATCTCAAATGAATATACTTCTAAACTAGCATTTGATCATGTGCACATACACATATGCGAATAAAATTTTATATGTTATATGTATGTTTATGTAATATTTAAAATCATAAGTTAAATAATAGCATATCACATTTTATAAATTTTATCATTAGTAAAATAAATATACTATTAACTTACATCTTAATATTTATATTGATTGCAATTATATAATTTTTGCAATCTTTTTTTTTTTTTGTAATGAACAATTGATTAGATAAATAATATTGAAATTATTATTATTATAGCCATTGTGTATGAAATTTTAAATTTTGGTTATATCATAAAAATTAAATAATAAATCTTAATAAAAAAAACATGCTTAATGAATTAGAACAAAAAATAAATAATAAGTTAAATGAATAGTTTGAAAAAAAATTATAATATCCTTTAATGTGTCTTTATAATTTGTTAGTAGTAGTTCTTATATTATAAAATAAATAAAAAATATAAATACTTAATTAATGCAAAGTAACATATTTTGGAGAGAACAAGTTTTGAGGTTTTATTAAATGTTTGACTAGTAATTATATATATATATATATATAAATTTAAAATAATATAATTTATTTATAATTGTGTTAGAGTTGTGATGCCTTGATATTTAAAAAATAAAATAAAATCCAATTTGGCATATTTTTAATTTGATATATAAGTTATATATGATAAATCTAGCAAAAAGAAAAAAAAGATAAATTGTTACTTATAAAATGTTGATAGTTTAAAATCAAACAATGTAATGTGTTTTTATATTTTTATGTAATTGCTCTTATCTTTATGTAATGTATATGAATTATTATTAATTTGATATATAAGTTATATCTGATAAATCTAGTAAAAAGAACAAAAAAGTTAAATTGTTACTTATAAAATGTTGATAGTTTAAAAGCAAACAATGTAATGTGTTTTTATATTTTTATGTAATTGCTCTTATCTTTATGTAATGTATATGATTTATTATTAATTTGATATATAAGTTATATCTGATAAATCTAGTAAAAAGAACAAAAAAGTTAAATTGTTACTTATAAAATGTTGATAGTTTAAAAGCAAACAATGTAATGTGTTTTTATATTTTTATGTAATTGCTCTTATCTTTATGTAATGTATATGAATTATTAGTTAGTTCGTGCCGTTATATTTATGTCCAATCACCAGTTGCATCATTTTGGTGGCATCAAATAAAGTAAACAAAGATGAGAATATTTTCCATAAATATTGAATACAGGCGAGGTATTCAATACATGGAGTATATTTATGCCGTTTGAAAAAAAAAGAATACTGGAAAGGTGGAGTAAAGTATACTTACAAATGGCCGACTGACATCAAAATAAGGGCGAGTCAACCATGGGCTAGGGTGAGCTCTAACTCCAGGTAAAATAAAAAAAATTATATTGATTTACATTATTTTTATTAATCCCTTATATTTTTTTAACAAGCCTATTTGTTTGAATTAGCCCAATAATAATAGCCCAAAAAATTAAAACCCATTACCTTTCTCGTTTTAGTTTTTTGGCCCACACATTTACCCACTCCATCAATTACTTGCACCCTAAAAACAACTAAAAACGACCCCAAAAAGAAGAAAAAAAAAAAGAAGCAAAATTCCCCAGCAATTTTCTCTCGAACGAAGTGAAAAAAAATTCGACCCACGGCTTCAGCCTTCATCCTTCAAGCAAACCGAGCAGCGACCAGAGTCCAGGACTACTGCTTCATTGTCTCGTCGGGCGTCGGCTTCACTACTCATCCCCGCCAATCCCTCCGCCCCGACCCTAGCCCTCGGTTTCACTCCTCGCCGCGACGCCGTCTATCCTCCACGGCTCCACCGGCGCACCGCCGGACCCGGTCCTACGGCCACTTACCTCGCTGGTAAGAAATGGAACTTCCACTTATTAGCAAACCCTACCCTTTCGGTGTTATTGGGCATTGAGGTTATTTTTATGAGGTGGAAAAAATGCTAGAAATGTTCTTTGGTGTACTTGTTTCACTTGCAGTCTCTAATTTATATCAATTGGGAAACATGTTTTTAGCATAATTGTAGTTGTTAATGATCATGTAGGCATTCTTATAAAGGTGTGGATGCTTTGCCTGATTGTGTAAAAAACCCACAATGCATTCTTCATTATGTTTTTTTATTTGTTATTTTGTTAGTTTGCTTATTTTACCTAGCTTGATTAATTTACTATTTTTTCTAGTATTATTATTCGATCTAATTTATTTAATTTATTTTTCAGGTTAACTCGTCTTGTTTTGACTCTCCCTTTGTCTACGACTTGGGCTGTGACTTCTTCGTAATAAGATGGAAGATGAGTTTTTTTGCAGATCCCATGATTATTTATATTGAAATGGATTTGGTCGAAAAGATTAGTAATGGTACTATAATCGCCGAGTTTGAAACTAAAAGGAATCAGATATCGCAATTTCATTAGCCCCGGGTATTTTAAAATTCTAGCTCTGCCCCTGCATCGAAAGGTCCCAAGAAAATGAACTGGTAAGGTGTTGTTTCTGGACCTCTGTTAGTATATAAGATTTTTGCTAGACTGCCCTCTTTTTTCTTGAACCATTTTCTCAACTCGCGTTTCCTGTCGCAATGGATCCTGATTTTTTGATGAAAAATAAAATGTATTATTGAGGCTTATATGGTCATACTCCGTTTGGCTGCAATATTATGTTACAGTATGGGCAGGTTTCTTTCGATTTTCTACCATGCTGTTATGTATATTGAACATGGCCATACCATAGAAGCCTCCTCGTTTTCTTGCATGTTCTATGGAAAGAAACCGGTCTGGATAAATATCTCAGAAAGTCATAATCTTAATTTTGTTATTATGTGTGTGTGCGTGTGTGTGCACGCCGATAAGATATGTGTGTTAGCATCTGATGTAGTTATTCACTTTCTTACTGAGATACATACCAGTAGTAATCTGATCCGTGAGTAGGACAGACAGTTTATAACCGGATTCGGAACAACTTCAATCAAAATCTGAATTGAAAGAATAGAAATTTCACTTCAATAAATTGGAAAATAGAAGATTTGATAGGTGAAAGGGACGACCTAGGAAGGATAGATGGAGAGGTCCTTTTACTTGTACTGTTGGAGGGAAGGCATATGGTCATGATTATTCTGGTGTTGCTGTGCGAATTTGGTTTGCAAAGGAGTTGAGATTTTCATAAAGCAGGTACCTTGTTTAATGGTTTGCCTTTGCCACTGTACAAGGATAACTGCAAGAAGAGTGTCAGTCAACACCCCTGCCCTGAAATGGGCACAGAGGACGCTATGTAACAGTACAGGTGTCAAGTTACCTGGTATGGACGATGATCAAGTTATTAGGGTAATAATTTTATCTTCTGATACTTAGCTCCTTTTCCTTTGCTGTTGGATAGTTCTGTATCATTTTCCTTGATTAAGTAAGTGCATATAATAGAACATTATACAAACCTATATATTCTGTCACCAACTCATGATTCATTTTCATGCGGATAATGTAGTTGCGATTCATTTGCATGTGACTGGACATTTTCTCCTTTCATGTGATGTGTATTTACTTCACAGAAGCTTTCGGTGTCTGACTCTCTTGATTTTTAATTTCTGGAACTGTTGTTTTTCTCTTACATCTAATGAAAATGCTCATTCCTAACCTGTTAGAATTGATTTAGTAAAAGGGACATGCTATATTTCCCACGGTTTACAGAATTGTTTACTAGACATACACTTGGCAACATGGCAAGCATCCTCAAATTTATCTATCATATCATTACAAAAATCAACAACCACGATACTGCCAACACATAATTCAGTACACCAGTTGGTAAATCTTTGAAAGAAAATATAGGTTAATCTCTGAAAGAACAAGAGTATTTTTGAACAATATCAAGGGAAAAACAGATCGAACAGGCCATCTATAGTTGAAACTTTAGATAATCGGGATAGTTCTATCATTTTTTCTGCATATTAGATAGTGTGAACGAGTACTTGGACTTTCACAGATGTTTATCTTACTATTATTGGAGGAGTTTCTCTTCATCAAAGTTTGTTCCCAATCTATTATTTCTTTACCCAGGATTCCGTCGACCAGCATAGACATAATAGTAATCTTCCGGTGCATGATGTGGCTATTGTTGGAGGTGGCATGGTTGGCATGGCTTTAGCTTCCTCTCTGGGTAATGTTTATTTGTTATTTGACTTTCAAACATTTGTTTTTAATAATATTAGCTTTGTAATGTTTCCATATTGCTTGGAACTGCATGATTACGATTCCTTTGAATTGTCTTTATGGTTCAACTAATCCAACATTGAATATTTTCTAGTAAACACTAACTTAGACTCATGGTGAGTACGAAACATTTTCATACACTGTCTAGTACCATTGGTTAAAGACCCAACCACGTGCTTAAATAAAGCTAAAATAAAATGTGAGAAGGTGCGTAGTGATTTTAGTTCTTTCTTGTACCATGGTGGAATTTTTGTCAAACCGCCATTTACCGCCATCGCCATTAATAACACTAGAAAGAATAAATTATAAGAGTTTTCACAGAAGCATGGTTAACTGGTTACGTGAGAAATTCTTAGGTGTGTGGATTTAAATAATTTCAAAATGAATGTTATATGCTTGCAGCGCACCAGCCACTGACAAACAAGCTAAATATTGCCATTATTGACAGCAACCCAGAAGTACTAAATAGCGGTTACATTAAGAAAGAGGATCCTCCAGATCCAAGAGTTAGCACAGTCACACCAGCAACTATAAGTTTTTTTAAAGGTATTGCTTTTTACATTTGATATCCAAGTCAGCAATGCCTTTACTGTTATGTTACAACATCAATAGTGTTTCGACAAGCAATATATTGAGTAATAGATAATTATTATTTGATGGATATAAATCGGCTGGGTAAATTGTTTTTTACTGGTGCTGAACACAGTAGAATTGATACATGTTAGAATATTTATGTATCTTTTCCATATGTAATACTCCAGCTATCTATATTCAATACATAGTGTATTCTTGATTCTCTTCTCCTACTATACATTACTTGATTGTCGTCTCCGACCACATATAGAGCTTTGTACTGCTCATTATTCAAGATATTTCGTTCTCCTTCATCTTCTTTCTTATCTGACATTTTGAACTTCTGCTTTTGCCTTAATCATTGTTGGAGACGAAACCTCTTGAGGCATACTGGGTAGTCATGGACAACCTTTGCTCTCTTGTCATGCCTTTACCAAACAACAAAATAAAAATCCAAATGCTAGGAAAAAGGTTTGTGACCAAATGGGTGAAAATTGTTGATTGATGGGCTATGGCAGGTTGACAAGGGGGATTTTCTGTGCTTTCCATATTTTTGTTTTCTATATTGGTTGACTACTAATCTTGTCCCTTTGGCTTTTGGGATAATAAAAATCATAATCTTCTATATAAGTTAGTGCTTCGCCTTCCTTTATCTACTGGTAAGCCCTGCAGTGAAAAGTATGAAATGTTTTCCTGAATATACTCTTTCGGTGCTCCATTTTTCATTGTTCAAAGTGTCGAAAACATAACAAACAGAAAGTTGTAATTACTTTGAAGCAGCGTTTCAATTTATTGAAGCTTTTGAACCTGATAGCCATTGTGTAACCAACTAGCTTTCTCTTGTGTTCACTGAAGTCTTTCCTTAATTACATAAGTTCATGTTGTTGCCATTTTACATCTGAAACTTTCAGCAGACAAATATTTGTTTTTCTAATTGAACTTAGTGCATGTAAGCTTTTCTTAAACATTGTCTAGTCTTTTTCTTTGTGAAGGTTTTTAAGTGAAGGCATGCCACCTGGTAGGCCCTTTTTGGTTCAGACTCCAACTGAACCATTGAGATGAAATGTCTAACTAGAGTCCTGAAGTATTATGGTTTCCTTTCAGATATAGGTGCGTGGAAATACGTTGAACAGCACCGACATGCTTACTTTGATAAGATGCAGGTATTGATATTAAATGTGAGAATGAGTTTATAATGGATTTGCTATGATTACGAATACTGCTTTAAACATCTGGTCTGATTCTTTTTGTGTCTGACTCTGGCTTGTAACCCATCTTTGTTTAAAAGGAACACAAAAGTGAACACTTGCGTATAACATCTCTGCGTTTATATAAGCTGTCTTGAGATCAAACATTCATTTGCCATTTTTGGTCAGGCCAAGTGAAGTCATGTTCTTGTGGTGGAGAACGAGATATTGTGATTTGAAAATTGAATTGATCAATTCTTAGTGTCTCTTGTTGATAAACTGTGTCCAGGTAGTTTTTCTTTGGAGCACCTCGCTCCAAGTAGCTATGCTTTGAAGTATGCCACAACTTGACTTCATATATTACTACCTTTAATTGTAAACATGTTATTGAGACAGGTTAAACAAAACTGTCATGCATGTATCAAAATAGTGATGGAATATTGATGTCATTTTAGTAGATTAAGATGCGGTAGAGGGCGGTCAGATGAGCATCAAGCTGCTTCCAGCATCATTTTGATAGAAAATATTAAAACAAAACATTGGGCATCTTTTTCATAGGACATGGTAGATTAGGTAAAATTTCTATCTGTATGGATAAATATGTTCGATTCACCTTCCAGCAGTGAAAAGAATTTTCTCCATGCCTTGCATAGGGTAAACAAGGTGATTGGTAATTTTGTGAAGGTTCGACTAAAAATCAAAAGCTTTCATCCTCTTTGTAGGATCTGAACCTTTATTTTGCTTCTGTATTTTGTCCTCTCATTCTGTTTCCTTGTTGTTCCTTTTCTTTTATTCTTTTTGTTTTCTCTTCTGGCAAGTAGCATTCTTAAGACCTCAAATTTCTTTGTTAATATAACATAAATATTGACGAACATTGTTATGTACTTGCTGCTAATATCGTCAACAAGTCCTAATTATTGTTAGAAGTATTCGAATTTGAGATTTTTGAATGTTTTTTCTAGGTTTGGGATTACTCTGGTCTTGGGTATACAAGATACAATGCGAGAGACATTAACAAAGAAGTATTAGGGTAAGAGCAGATGCTGCAGCTTCTCTACTATTCATTATGTCACAGTTCGTGTCAGCAGATAAAACTTGTATGGATTTTAATATAGGTGTGTGGTGGAGAACAAAGTGCTTCATCAATCTCTGTTATCAAGCTTTCAGGTATTAAAATGCTGGCTTTGTATTCATAGATAGAAAAAAGCTAAGATTTGTCAATGTCTAAACTATTTTTACAAACTTTCAAGAGTTAGAAGTGTCAGAGTTTAAATAGTAAGTTTTAATTTCTTATAGCCTATAGGCATTGAAATATCATTAGCAATTAACTGTAGAAGAGACTTTACTACAAATTTAAAAGTTATTAGCAAATTTAGTGTTTTGTATAACCTGTGGTGCAAATTTAGGAGACTTTTCACAAGATCTAAGTGCAAACACCAATGATATATGATGATATAGCATCATAGCTATTGCTTTGGCATCTTAAATAGAATACGATTTTCTCAACCATAGCTTTCTTGCGTGATTTAACACTTGGATGGGGTTAGTGAAAGATTGGGAATTTAACATAGGTTCCGAATTTTTTGATTGCTCTGATGAGTGGAAAATTCGACTGGACTTATGAACTTCTTGGCCCGTTTCCAATTTTTTCTGAGATTGCGACATTTCCCTGCGAGTTTCTGAAGCATATTTCTCCAAAAAACTACAACAGCACCGCCTTCTTCCTCATGCAAACAACAAGTTTCCTCCATTGAATGAGATCAGTTACATAACTTTCTACAATGTTATAATAATTGAAATTTCTTTTTGTTTGTGCCCTTAAAACATCCTGGGTAGTTCAAAAGGGAAAATTTTGCATGAATTCTATATCTTGGTAAATTCATTTTCTGTTTCCATTTCAGCTTTTTGTTTTTAATTAATAAAAGGAAAAACTGAACAGTTGAGCTTTCTATAGAACACCAGCAAGTCTGCTCTTGTTTTTCTTGTTAGGTTCGGTTTTGATCTGAAACAATCGTTTGCTTGCTGTTGATCGGTGCGTTTTTATTTGTAGACATGGCATTAGTAAGTTATTGGACTCTTATTATGTAGAAACGTGGTGTGGCACCCTGTTCTTCGGGGCTTTTGGGAATAAGTTCTACACCATTTATTGCTTATGTTCCTGTGTCATGTCTATTTCTACAACAGTCTGTTTCAAGCACCATCTCACGGCTTCTATGTTTACTCTTTACTGTTCCTTTATTACAGCCTTGTCAATTATTCCCTTTTTTGCTTTTGGAATAGCTTTTTGTGGCTTAACTTAAGAACTCTGTTTTCCTTTTGATGGGTGATGTTTTTCTGTATGGTTCTTAGAATATTGTTCCCATCCATGGACTATTAGATTAATTGACTTGCCTGTTTTTTCCATGCTATGCCAATTTGAGTATGTACGGCCTGGAACTGTGATTCATTATCATCTTTGTTGCTTTCTCTGTGCACGACTGCCAAAAATTCCTTTTCTTATTCCATCAATGCCCGTTTTACGGTTGTGGCTGAGGTCCCTCTTACTTTCTTACAACGTGTGACATTGTTTTGTAATACGCTATATCCTCTACTGACAAGGGGGTTGCATGATGGAAGCTCGAAGTAAGATTTTTATGTTAGAAGCTGAATATTTTTAAGGGCCATAAAGTCATCGTTAACGTAATAATAGATTATGTTATATGCCATTATCACTATTGGGAAATTGTACTTGACAGGATGCAGCTTTCCAGCAAAAAGTATATCCTAGCAGATTAAGCTCAATGGCTATGCAACCGAATTCTTCATCAAGCCCTCATGGATCATTAGCTAAGTTGGAACTAAGTGATGGGAATAACTTCTATGCAAAACTAGTGGTAAACTCTAGCGTCCAGCTTGTGCATTCACAACATCAATGTTTTTGATCAATGAGACGAATTTATTTATTCTTACAAGCTCACTAAAGTGCGAATAAAATTTTCCTGGTAATCCACAGGTTGGAGCGGATGGATCTAAATCGCGTGTTAAGGAGCTAGCCGCAATAAATTCAACTGGATGGAAATATTCACAGAATGCAATTATATGTTCTGTAGAACATACAGAAGAAAATCAATGCGCTTGGCAACGATTTCTGCCCAATGGTCCAATTGCACTTCTACCAGTAGGTGATAATTTCAGCAATATTGTCTGGACAATGTCTCCTGAAGAGTCCTCAAGTCGTAAGTCGTTGTCTGAGTTTGACTTTTTGATGCAAGTAAATAGCGCACTTGACAATGGCTATGGCCCACACCCAAAATCTCTATCGTCAGTTCCATTCTCTTGGCCAACAGCAAATACAACACTCTTAGCCAATGAGTTCTTTGAGGTCCCACCGAAAGTTACCAAATTAGCGTCTGAGAGAATGGTGTTCCCTTTGTCTCTAAATCACGCTAATTCGTACGCATCGAAACGTGTTGTTCTTATTGGTGATGCTGCACATACTGTTCATCCTTTGGCTGGTCAAGGAGTAAACATGGGATTTGGAGACGCTTTTTGTTTGTCAAAGGTTATTGCTGAAGGCATTGCTCTTGGATCTGATATTGGGGAGGTACGAACTCTTTTTTACTTTTTCTTTGTTAATTTTACTTGAATGGCACTGTTATGGCATTTATTCCCTGTAAATGTTTTAGATTTTATGCCCATGTTATTTTGACGATATCTTCTCAGATTATCTGGAAGAACATTATTATTATTATTATGAAGTTTTGAAGAATTTTGAGTAGGCTTTTTTTGTATTCCCAGACTTTTTCCTAATTTTTTGTGTTTCTTGTTTTATTTATTTTTTCTTGTAGGACTCATATATTTTAGTTCTGCTTACTTTCTTCTGGTGCTCTTTATCTTTATTTATCTATTTTAATTTTAATATTTGCTCATTTCGTTCTGCATCTTTCATTTGTTTTGTTGTTTAAACGATATTTGCCTATATGACGCAGCCGAGAGGGGTTATCATTGTGATTCATCCTGATTTCTTGTCAAGCTTACTGAGATATATTAGTACCTTTGTTCAATCTCAGGTAACACTGCTAAAAAGATACGAGTCAGAAAGGAAACCTGCAAACTTGGCTATGATGGCAATATTGGATGGCTTTCAGAAGACTTACTCTGTTGATTTTGGACCGTTTAATGCTCTGCGTGCTGCTGCACTTCAAGGAGCCAATTTTATCTCGCCTTTAAAAAGATACATCATCTCGTATGCTTCAGGCGAGCAGCGATTCCCATTTTTCGCGTGATTCTTCTAACTATCTGAATCAAAGTTGTTTTGGTTTGGGAAATGACTAAATAATGGTGAAGACAGTTTTTAAAATACAACATTCCTTATGGGAGCAATCTAATTTAATTATCTGCTTGCTAACAGCGTTTATGGAGTATGTCATTTCATTAGAAAAAGAACATATCCATATAGAGTAATAGTTTCCATTGCTGACTACACCACAGCCAACCTAAAGTAAGAGGCTGTTTGATTCTTATGGGTGTCAAATTGTGTTTGATTCTTATGGGTGTACTCGTATGGGTTCTCCATACGAATACACCCACAACATCACTGACCATAGCTTTCGGGTATTCTCAGAAATTTTGGAATTATTTAAATTAAGGAGTACTCACTGACCATAGCTTTCGGTATTCTCATAAATTTTGAGATTATTTAAATTAAGGAGTACATTGAATTATTTTTTTTTTTTTAATATAGTAAAGTGATTCCAAAACTTTGGAAAGATTGATAAATATTTTAAAATGTATATAATAAATGTTAAAATAAAAAAAAAAAAAAAAGGAAAAATGTTTCCGACATCTTAAAAAATTAAAATTTAAAAGTAAAAAAAATAAAAATACGGGATATTGGAAAAGGAAAAAAGAATATAGGAAAGAAAAAAAAAATTGTCATACCTCATTTGAAGAATTTGGAATACATATTCGGCAATTTATTTGACTTACCATTTTTAATAATTCTAGATATCTAATTAAAGATATTAAAATCAAATCAAAACAATACCCAAAAAAAAGATATGAACATCAAGATAAGATGAAATGCATATTTTTTAAAAAAGATAATTTATGTCACTTTCAAAAATTCTAAAATTTAAAATAATAAAATCCATGGGCATGAATTGCCCAAACAATTCAAACAACATTTCCATAAGTAGTAAAAACCAAATATTTGAGCGGGAATTGTCATACTATTTTTATATTTTTTTCTTATTGCTATTATAATGTAACTGGTGTAAACTTACTTCTAATGGTGTTAATATTGTGATGCCTTTAGATTATAGAGATGCTACGGGTTTTGCAAAATCTAAGTTGTCATGGAAAATCAAATATATGTATGTGGCGAGATTTTCACTTCTAATAAAAAAAAACTTAAGTAATGCCAATATTTTTTTCTCTTTGTTAATTTGATATAATATAATGTGTAATAGTACAACGCCCGTATATTATTCGGGTGTTTGTTAAATTTTTTTGTTTAAAAAATTAATGAGAAAAAGTAGTTGAAATAAATATTATTATGACATTTGTTATTTGTGCGACTTACATGTATTATATTAAAAATTTTTAACTTATAACATATAACTATATTAAACATGAATATATTAATGACAAATAATTTTTTATTTAATTTTAATAAAATATTTTTATTATTGTAAAAATAAATATAATTTATTATATATACAATATAGATGTTAAATCGAAACTCATCAAAAGATGATTAATTTGATATATTATATATGTAAAATCGATAAGAAATACATTATATATGTAAAACCGATAAGAAATACAAAAGTTATCAACTTTTAAAATAAATTTACAATTAATTAATTATAGTAGGAAATGATATTAAAATACAATTAATACTTATAGAATGATAATAAATAAATCAATATATTTATGGTAATCCGAACCTAAATACTTTTGGATTGAAATTAAATTAAAATTTATCCAAGCCAAATAACAAAGCATAAAATTTTGAAACCTAGAATTTCGAAACATGCGAGTATGCCACTTAAGTTCAACACATTCGGAAATTATATACAGGATTTGATAAATCTTGCCAAAAAAAAA